ACTGCTAGTCACTATCCATCAATATGTTATAGTTTGTAGAAAAAGATGAAGAAAGAACTGAATATAAGATTTAAAGTTCAATGGTTAACATTTTAAAAACAGTACAAATTTAGATCATTCAATGGTATAACAGTTCGATTCAATCATGAAATACATTTTTAAACACTGGCTTAACCAGCGTTGCTGAATATTAAAGCTAATTTGGAACAGAAAGTTTCATTTCTAATGAATAAGTCAATGTAAATACAAATTATGAGAACATATAATATTGATCTTACCCAGAAGTGGATAATTTGGCAGCCATTCAGATAAATTAATCCGTTTGGTCGAACTAAATACTTCCACACTTGAGCTTCTTACTCACCAGTTGTTACTGAACAGGTTATAATCTAACCGGGGTTTGTAGTATATCATTCTACTAATAGTGACATTTTTATTCCTAATAGGGCTGAATCGCATCAGATATGAATTGCTTTTAGAATTATGAAAATTCATCCCGAAACAAGTTGTTAGTGAATACGTGATTAGATTTCAGTCGAAAGATTTCGTGTAAATTATCCATAACTGTACATGACCTGCGATATGGTTTGATCCATATATATACATCAGGAGGGTCAATATTCTATGACTTTAACTGAAAAAGATAGTAATTCGTGAATACTACAACTTATTTATTTGTTCTGTACTTTTGAACCATATGAGATTCTAAACTGACATCAAATATTACCAGAAGCACACATTTTGCCTTCTGGTAAGCGTATTTATATCTATTCAACTAAATCATTGTATAACTCCCAACATTCAAAGATAATTCACTGCTTTTTTTATTCTTTCATATTCATTCATAATCTTTGTCTACATATGATAGTAACCGCTAAAAATGTTTCATGAGGCTAATACTCAAGTACAAAAAAACCCACACTAATATAGGTTTGTTATGAAAAGTAAGTAAACTAGAATAAATCGATTTTTAAATTACAATTTTTAATACAATGTAGGGCAAGTGAAATGTCACTGAGCCCTAGCCAAATCATCCGGCAGTTGGATCACTGAATCTCGAACAGACCATCACTCCCTGCCAAGGTCATGTACAACCAACGCGCATTAGTTAATCATATGCCATGGACTGGCCCAGGCGGCAGTGGTCTTACTTTCCTTGTATCTACCTTAACTAAAATATTTCTGTAATAACGTCCTCTGTGTTGTACAGTCTTCAAAGCATCTATGGTACCTTGATACGTCAATGGAGTAGTCCACGTAAGGTGCTGACCACAAGGTGTGACTTCGACATTAGCTAGTTTGTCACACCATTCACGTCTAACTCGAGTAGACCTCCAATCATTTCGACATAGATCATCTACGTTGGTGATCTACAACAAAAACTTGATAGTGATAATATTTGAATTGAAACGCTGATACTGAATAGATAAGGTATTCAAAGATTTGTTTCCTAAAAACAAAGAAAATAATATATGAACCGTTTATATGTCCCACGTTTATTTATGCGTAACCCATATGTATCAGTGTTTCAATAAACGAAAAAAACAAACATGATTCTTTAATTCACAAATTTCGTTTTACCTTTTATCATTTCAAAATTAATCTACGTCAAATATAAAAAGGGATGACAAAGTAACTCCTAAATTGCTTTTATCATGATAGTCTATCATAAAAGTATATGCATCTTTCATTTAATTCGGTAAGCTAGGATACCAGCTCACTAGTCTAGAGGATAAGCGCTCGCGAGCAAGATCGAAGACCCTTGGTTTGAATCCTATGAGTAAGATCATAGATTTGCATTGCTGAGGAGTCCCACAATAGGACAAACCGGTAATCCAGTGCTTCCAATTATTCAATAGTAGTTCATGATTTCAATCAAAACCTTTATACAATTAAATTTTCTTATTATAACTTAAACACTTAAGTTGTCTTTGTGAACAGATCTTTCCTGTTAGAACTCATATAACATTATGTGAAAATTAAATTAACAATATATATATATATATATTCACTTTATACCACTTGAATGACTATTCAATAATCAATGGATTGGAATTTCACCAGCGTCATACATTTTAAAAAAGTAAACTTTTAAATAAGTTTGACAATTTGGATTGTTTGACAATTTTTTTTGTTTTTCTGGTTTGTTTTAGAAAAAAAACAATTATGTTTGTATCTAATGAAAGAAATTGACATTTTTACACGTATTATAAAATGTAGTTTGTAATTTCATGTAAAATTCGACAAAACTTAGTTATTGTTAGAAAAAACTAGTATGTGAGGTTGTGGAGATTATTACGTTTTTCATTGAGATCATGAACCGATTGATGTTAGACCACCACCTTTGGAAATCTGGAAGCACTGGACGGCCGTTTCGTCCTATTGTTGTTATTGTTGTTGTTGTTGTTGCTGTTGTTCATTCTTTTATTTCACGTCATCAAATTGATATACAATATGAGGTAAAATATACATTGACTTTATTTATATGTTAACATGAATATAATATTAGACAGTTTCAGGATGTTGATGTGAAATACTTTAAAATGCTTAAATATTTCTTGATACCAGTTCTGACTGTAGTATATTCGACTTATGTTGATTGACAGATCTAAGTTGTATGTATAACAACAGAAAATTGAGAAGATTCAATCGAAGAGAAAAAACAGATAGAATCATGAAGCATTTAATGAACAATTGATGAAAAAATGTGTAAATTATGTAGTTAATGTTTGGTTTTCATATTTCATGAAAGCATACTGTAACTTTGCACTTCAAGATGTTCTTGTTGACTATGTAACAAAACATCTATCTAAGTCAAAGTTTATTATTGAGATTATAAATCGATTGATGTTGGACCACCATTGAAAACTTGGAAGTACTGGACGGCTGTGGATGCGCACTGCTGAGGAGTACCACAATACGACGAAACGGCCGTCCAGTGCTTCCAGCTTTTCAGTGATGGTCTAACATCAATCGGTTCACGATCTTAATCAAAAACTTAACAATCTTCACAACCGCTAAACTGATCAATGTTTATTGCTGAGCTTAAACATTTATGAGTGAACATATACATAAATGTATATTCGGATAATACATACTTTTACTCTTAATGAAATATAAGTTGTGAAATACTGAACATTATAAATTTCTTATATCATTTACATTTTAACTACTTTATATGCGAATGATTCACTAGAAAAACTTCCCTCACGTTTGCATGAATAATTAGTATGTTGTAGTATAACGTGCATAGGAAATCTTAATCTTCTTTTTGCACGCATCTATTCTAAGAAAACGTTCTTTTTTAATATTCCTGAAATATGCTTTATTCTACATAAAAATATCTCCACTTATTATTTAGTATTGAGCTTTCTTATGAAGATATTTTACTCAATATAAGGTTAGTCATGATAGTTAATCGCTTATAGATAAATATCCAAATACATTTTCATTAGCTTTGAATTCAGTTTATAACTTTAAATACTTGGTTGATTATAATTATGTTCTCGATCTAACGTTTTTGCATATACATGCACTTCTTTCTCCTCAGTATTGTCCGATTTTCTACTGAATGTATTTCCTTAGAACATTCTGTTACTAAACACTTAAAAGAACTTTAATGTTAAATTCTGTTGGTTGTACTTACATCTGAACACAGGAAATCACAGTGGTCAGATGAAATGAACAATGGTTTATTGAATGAATTTTATTCTCAGTTCTAAGATAAAATTTAATTCAAGTATGTTATCGCTAATGATATTGGAATTCATAAAGAAATATCATTTAAACTACTGAAGGATTTAGTTCTAATTCGAACACTTATTAAGAAAATTCAAGTTCACTTTTGTCTTATGATCATCTTTAATCTAAGGTTCTTATAAAGGAAACAATAATCTACTACCCATAATACAATTGTTGAAAACTACCTTTAGGCCTTACAACCTCATAATTTTAGTTAAAAAGAAACATACATAATGGAGGAAATATGATGTATTTTTTAAAGGTAATTATAAGAAAATTACAAAAAAAAACCATGTACATGGGAAATATATGAATAACGAAAGTTTCAATGTCTTATTTGTATTGTTATTTACAGTTAGGTATATATGCAAATCAAGATTATACAGTTTCTAAGTGTGATGTCTTTAATAATATTTAAGAAACCACTGGGAAATTTTATAATGGCTTTACATATAAATAGCATACTGAGATTGTTATCTTTTGAGAAAATATATATGTATATCTGTTAGCATGAGGTTTAAGTAAGATTGTTTAGAATTATGAATGTATTACATGAATAGATAAGCAAACAAAATACTTGCCAATTCATATTCTTCTTCTGGTATGTTAAGTAATATAGTTCATTTCATCATATTTTGTAGAATATACATATCCAAATGAGACCTGAAATTTAATTCAAATATTTATTTCAAATAGCATTCATAGAGATTGTAATCATTGAAATAAGCATAGAAACAATTGAATAATCTTTTCAATCATAAACAAACTTTTACTCTTGATTAATCCTACTATATTCTATGAAACAACATGGATTACTCGCAAATGGAGGTGGTACAGTTGATCGTTGTATTCGATTTTGGAATAGATTAACTGGTCAGGCTTTACGTAGCGTGGATACTGGAAGTCAGGTTTGTAATATTGCCTGGTCCATACATAGTAACGAATTGGTCAGTACACATGGTTAATCATAGAATCAAATTCTTGTTTGGATATATCCTAGTCTAACACAATGAGCCAAATTGGTTGGGCATTCATATCATGTGCTGTGCCTAGCAATCAGTTCAGATAGTAAGAAAATAGTAAATGGTGCAGGAGATGAAATACTTCGCTTCTGGAATATATTTACTAAAGCCAAAACTCCAAAAATGCAACCATCTTCACTTAACCTATTCAATGGGATTAGATGATCTATCTAAAAAAGAAGTCTTTCAAAACTTGTGGATGTTTCTCCGATGTGTTTTATTCTACTCAGTAAATATATGTATAATACACAATGTGCACTTGAACTAGATGATGTAACGGGTTACTTTTGTCACCTTCGTTTAATCGGTCGACCATCACATGGATTAAGCAGTGATATCATTCAATTGAAAAATGGGAGTACAGTTGATGAAAATTGGACATCTTCGAATAATCTTTCTACAAATATACGTGAAGCTGTCCGTGTCCCAGCGGGACTTGTTATTAGTCTACAGGATTGTGAAAAATGCCGTTCTAATAGGTCACGTATGAAAATTCGTAATCGAAATTGATCTATCATGCTAATCAAATTAGGTGACAGTGATCCTCAAAATCAGGACCAATTACGTATGATTGAATCGTTAAATAACAAATCTGATTTCGTACTACCTTCTAGTAAACAATCATCTTGATTAGATATAAATAAATTCTATTCAAATCACATAAATTTGCCTGATCAATTACCCTCAGCAAAAATTAATCTGGAAACTAAAGAAAACAGTATAGATGTTGTTTTGATCCAGAATAGTACACCGTCATTTTACCCAGTTACTTTGTTTTGGCTTCAACAGGGCAAGGGCGCGTATCTAAACCACCTAGACAGCTATTCTTTAGTTCAAACCTTAGTTTGCATCTTACAGGGAGACTATTATTTGTGGACAACCTTTGAGTGACGCTAAAGTGACTTTGGGAGTGCCAGCCTAACAACTAGGATCAAATGACGGTTATAAACCAATGTAAGGAATTAGAATTATGATTAAAAGTTGATGATTAAGGTTAGGAATTACATTTAGGGTTTTCATCACAAACTAATATCAACTATAATATCAAAACTATATTTAACCAAATAGATGAGTGAACTTCATGCCAAAATCCAAGACTTATTATCTTATACCTGATTAGTTCGTTCATGAATTCTAATCTCATCACACAATTATACATGTCATAAGCATTTCAATAATCAATGAAAACTTTCTTTCTTTCATTCAACATTGTTTCATAGTACAAAACGTTTTTCACTTACTAAAACTTTCTCATTTTTTTATATTTGTTGTCTTCATCATTCATACTATGAATGGTACAATTCAACTTTATCTATTATTATTACAAATCATAGATATAGTATTTAAGATAACTCTTTATATATTCGATCCTATTGTACTTTAAGAGCTGTACTGTCATTTTACATGGGAATATCTGTTTACTGTGGATATGTACTAATACTTTTTCTAGAAAAAAAACATATTTCTACTACAAATCATTTAGTTGTTAAGTGAACATAAAAAGTTTTTTTTGTATTTTTTTGTTGTTGGTTGTCTTCAGAAATAATTTAAACGTCTAGTTTTTCATTAGATATATGAAAGTATCATGTCAAATGATGATACATTCAAATGTCTGATTATACACTAATTAAATCAATTTACATAGATGGTTTGTTTTAAGCACATTCTGATTTATTCCCTAGTTTTTTTCTTCCTTATTATAAAAACTATGTTTGACTGTTACATTATGCTTCATAAAAAGGAAACGATTGTGTTACTTTTGTTACCAAGACGATTAGATTATTATACAAAATAAACTTACAGTCATAAATCTTGGGGGGGGGGATATTTAAAAAAAAAGTAGGTTGAATAGAAATCAAGACGTAAATCGTATACTTGTTTAATCATAATGTTCATCAGATATGTTTTTTAACTGTTGGTAAGTTCAACAAAATGTTGTTGAAAACTCACTTCAATATTAAGTCAATGAATATAGTGTTCCTTTCAGTTTGTTTGTTTGCCTTTGTTTTCATCTGAAATCATAGATGTAAAAGTAAGTGAATCTGTTATTAGTGAATACATAGAAATCGCTCTGGAAATTATATGTTAAGTATGTTAAATCTGGCAGTTATTTCACTGGAAACAAAATTTTGTGTGGAATAGTTATATTATCATTTGTGTAAAATAAACGTTCATCTAGTTTGTAACGACGCCAATTTACTACAAAGTGATCTTATGTCATAGAAATACTTGATTAAACAGATATTTTCACCACTGTGTTCTTTTTCATATGATGACATTATTTTGTTCTTTAGTTGACATTCTGTTATGTCCCTGAACAATATAAAAAATATATAAGAAGTTGACTATCGAGGCACTTATGACCATACAAAGAATGCAAGAGTAAACTAATATTCTTTTTAATAGATGCATATTTTATCCTGAACATCATGAACAAAGCAATATGATAAACATTAAAATATTGAATATATCACCCAAAACCATCATATTCAGTTGTTTTTCATCACTTCTGAAATGAAAGAATTCTGATTTGGACAATCGTTTAACTCATTGAATAGTAAGAGACATGAATATTCCTAGATTATTTCTGATATAATTTTCCAAATAGTCTGTGTAATACACTTTTACCCATATTTTATTTCTGAAGCAAAGCAAAATTGGTATATAATGGTAATTAGATTTCCTTGTAGCAAACTTTCTTGGATGGATTACTGCATATGACTAATAATGAGAATAATTAGAAATTAAACGTACATCGTTTATTGTATAGTTAATCATGATTACATGAATGATTATATCTTGGTTGATTATTGAATAATTCCATCATTCTGATAAGCTTTTAAACTAAATTTTTGTTGTGTTTCATCAAAATAGTTTAAATGTGCATCATATGAATATTTTAAATCGGTCTCATCGGTTAAATCCATCATTTTCATGTATTGACATGAAGGGATATATATTTCAATCTTTTGATTATCCATTAGATCATTATGTCTGTTCATATTATTTGTATTTATATCCATCTGATTATTATTATTATTATCATTATTATAATCCCAGTATTCTGTTGATATATTCCTATTGGAACATTTATTAAACATTGAATCTTGATGAGGAGATGATATTAGTTTACCATTTGGATAATTTGTTAATTCCAAACTTGTTTGACCCTCAATATTAGGAAATTGTGATAAGCAGTCAGGTATTGAATGAATTACTGAATTGCATTGAATTAGAAAAGAAATATAGAGAGATGAGCAGCAATATTTCAAAAAAATGAATGAATGTAATTCTAAATCAAAAGTAAATGTTATTTACAATGGTTCCAATAGTTCTTGCCGTTTAATCTACTTTTCGTTTTAGTATCCATCCCATATACTCTTGTGTATCAGCATAGTTTAAGGTATTATGAAATGGACACTTTGTATGTTTATGTAGTATTCAACTTTGGTTTTTGATCAGTACAAACTTTTGAGATTTTTATGTAAAGTTTTTTCTAAAACTAAAGACCTGTATATTTATATTCATGTAAAGAGCTTTTAAATCGTAAATCGTATTACCTTCTAATTTCATGCTGTGCTAAAGACTAATTCGTCACTAAATTTGACAAGTACGAAAGTGATTAATATATCGAACACAATGTGATATATAAAATTTCTTAATTCAACTATTTACATATGTTGAAAAAAATATTTCAAATAAATTGTCCAATAGTTACCATGTTGGGAATAACAATTTCAGAAGTTTACGATGAACAGTATTTTACGCGTCTACAGTCGGCAAGCACGTAGAAATTCTTAAATGCAGTGCAATATCATCTAATCCATCCGATAGGCTAATCTCACCGAAAAGTAGTATGTATATCAACCGATATAATTGATCAGTCTCTGTCAGTTTACAAGTAGTTATAAAAACAAAGACAGTCAAGTTTCAGAAGGGGTTTTGTGGAGATTGAAGTAATTTCAATAGTTCAGATCATGAATCAATTGAAGCTAGACTGCCATGGAAAACCTGAAAGGACTGGATGGAGGTTTTGTCCTATTGTGGGACTCCTTAGCAGTGCTTATGCACAACCCCACCTTGCGAGATACGAACCTATCAGACTTGCGCGCGAGCGCATATGCTCATATATGCGCATATGATCATTAGTGATTGGCTTCAAGATGTATATACTGGAGATATAGTGAGAAGCAGTGACCAGTTGATTTTAACCCGGTCGGTTTTGAGCTACTAACTCATTGATGACAATGGTGGATGTTTCGCTCAATTTCGTGGATTGGTTGAAGTTAGACATTAACACCGTTTGATGCCGACTGGCTCAGTGGTCTAGTGGTTTAGTGCTCGAGAGCGAGACTGATAGGTCCTGATTTCGAGTCTCGCGAATTGGGATTGTGGATGCGCATTGCTGAGGATTCCCACAAAAGGGCGAGTTAGTCGTTCAGTGTTTTCAGGTTTTCCATGGTGGTCTAGCTTCAATAGACTCATGATCTCAACTACTGAAATATCAAGTTTCGAAAGAAAGAAAGAAAGTTAAAAATTCATTCAACATTACCTCGATAACTATTAGAAGGTCTAGAAAAATCATAATTCTGTGATTGATCCATTTTTGACCAGTTTGAAGGTGAATATGTTATATTTGTTGTACAACGATTACTTGTATTATTGTCTATTTTATTACTTCTATCATGTAATACATTATTTCTTTTAGAACGACGTAGAATAATAAATACTGAACATATCAGAATAGTTGATATAATACAAGCGGATGTTATAATTGCTATAACAATATAAAAATTTAATTTATATCCACTTGATCCATAACTACTAAATTCATCAGCATTATTTAAATGATAATAATTCATAGATAAATAGGCTTTTGAAGTGGAATCATCAATTTCTATAATGAAATCCGTTATAGTAAAATGATATGGTTGTCCACAATCTCTTGCTTCTATCTTTAGAATATGTTCACCTATTGCAGTATATGGAATTTTTTTATTGATACTAAGTGTTCCAGTATTTTGATCTAATATAAAATAATTGTCATCGTTACCAGAATGTATAAAATATATGACTGTACCATTTTCACCAGCATCATCATCGACAGCTTGTATCTGAAAATAGTAAATGTTCAATTACAGAAAAAACAAACAAACATTAATATGCATAATGACATTGAATTGAGTGTAAATACTTGCAACTATTTAAATAGTTTTAGACATAAGCTTAGCTATTAACTTTACAAAACGGGAATTAAGCATTGATCAATATCTTTCGTCACGTAATTCGTTTGAAGAATGACTCTATTGTGTATATTCAACTATAATCATATAGATACTGAAATTTAAGGCAATGTTGAGTAAGTTACAAAGGCTATTTTTTTGATAAAACAATTCTAGTTCAAATAAAGACAGTTGTTAAGTACACTACACCTATTAACTAACATAGTTTATTAAATAACTCGATTCATACTCAATAATTGATCAGTGTAAACAGTTTAAAGTTTCAGGGTGTCTATCACAGCTTTAATAGGTTAGTAGTAATGTGTTAGATTTGAAGCTGAAAGATTTGGGAATATTCATTCTCTTATGATTGCATATGTTTTCATGACGAATACATACTAGAAAGAAACCTATAACTTGAGCTTCCTGTCGATTATCTCTCTAAATATCTAACATAAGAATGAATCAAATATAATTCACTTGGTATTGTTTTACTTGAATCTTCCCATTGATGTTTTAGGACTGAAATTGATCAGTCTCTTATTGGCATATGTGCATACTGTGCGTATGCCTCGATATTGCCTTAATTTACAAGCATTATAAGCAAAGATGGATATTGGCGTTTTGTCCACGCGCGTACTAGATTCCACTGCTAGCCACTATCCATCTTTGCTTGAATCAAATATATTTTATGATGTGAGTTATTAACAATTAGCTTTCAAAACTAAATCTATTTCATCCGACATTGTCCAGAAATAAAATTTCAATCCCAACTTTAAAAAAAAGAAAGACTTAAGACTTCATACAGAATTTCTTGAATTTAATGAATTCACTACTCATCAGAAGTATTTATCGATTCTTTAGGTCTATTATTGTACAAAAAAGAAAATTTAACATATAGAAAATTAAATGTGGTTTTTAATGATAAATTAGCTATGAAACCATTAGATTTCTCTAATCAATTACTAAACGTGTTAAAATTAGGGAATGAATTGAACTTGGTACGTTTAACATGAAGTTTCACTATGAAGATCGATACCAACATGGATATAAAGTATAAGTATCAGATGGGTTTTGTGGAGATTGTAGTAATTTCAGTGGTTAAGAACATGAGTCAGTTGAAACTAGACCAACATGGAAAACCTGAAAGCACTGGACGGTCGTTTCGTCTTTTTTTTGATACGCAGCGTTTATCGATCGCTCCTGTGACAGTGACACGTAATACACGTAAGGACGACCTAGTGCCCTGATTGGCCCTGCTTCGCTGTCTGTCCCAGCCAGTTGAGTCAAGAACACAACACGCCTCGTTATACCATAAAATAGGAAACAACATTTGTACAATATTTAACAAGGAAGTAAACATGACCAATAAGGGGCTCCTCAGCAGTGCGCATCCATGACCTCGCCTCCTGCGAGATTAGAACCCAGGACCTACTGGTTTCGCGCACGAGCACTTAACCACTAGACCACTGAGCCGGCTCGCAGTCAACGGTGTTAATGTCTAACTTAAATTAATCCACGAAATTGAGCGACACATTCACCATTATCTTCAGTGAGTTACTATCTCACAACAGACCTGGTTGAACTCCACTGGTCATTACTTCTCACTAGAACTCCAGGATATAGCTCGTGAAGCCAGTCACTAGTGAGCATATGTTGGTCAATATCAGATGGGTTTTATGGAGATTGTGCTTCCAGGTGCTTCCAAGTTTTCCATGGTGGTCTAGCTTCAACTGACTCATGATCATAACCATTGAAATAAAGTATAAGTATCAAATAGGTAGGGAATGTACGTTTTGAATTCTATTGCCTGTCTCAATCTATATATCCTGTAAAATATAATCAGACATTTATGTATGCTTATTTTTATACTAATATCGAAAAAGCATAATGTCAGTTACTATGATATTTTTCATATTTTATAATAATGTACATCATATTTCCTATTGTCAATTAATCTACTGTTGGTTATAAAGTTGAGCAATACATTGTAATGGTTTGGTTTCGAGATTATTCCTTAGACTTTGTCTATCAATCACATTGATAACCGTTAATAAATGACTTACAACGGTGAATTCAGTAGACAACACGAAGCTCCGACTACAGTTTATTAATGGATAGCAAAGATAGCAAAGTTACAGGTACATTGAGCGAAAATTGAGCAGAGGATAATGCGCGAAAGCAATCGAATAATGAGATGGATTCAGAGTCAAATCGAATATAATCGAAGCAAAGCAATTAACAAGATTCAAACGCCTGATTCATCGAGCTATATTTAGGCGACTAATATTTAGGGTAGATTGAGGAATATGGGCGTAGACTGTCACTTATTATCAACCACACATAATAATAACAATACAAAGAAATAAACATTTTGTCACTGAATAACAGTGTCTATTAAATAAGTTAATTGAAAGGCTTGACAATATTAACGGCCAACAAAATTAATTGTAAGTGATGTGCTATAACGTTACTCAATAAGTTATGGTCAGACGAATCAAATTGTGAAAAATCAAAAAGAAGCAACTTCCGTTGCTTCATTATGCAATTTGATAGTTATGAGAAGACGAAGCTGATCTATATTAAGAGACATGTTCGCTCAATACATAAGTTATAAACTTTAACACGAGCATTGGTATTAAAAATGGATTGTAGTTATTAGCAGAGGTTTGACATAAGGAAAGATTGTTTCTGAATGAATAAGAGAAGCTTAAAAAGACTTTCAATAACCTCCGATAAAATGAAAAAACATTTCTAGTAGGAAATCTATATAAGTGTAGTGAACAGAACACCAGTGGGGACACTCGAATGTATTTGACAAGAAATTACAGAGCATCTCAACAAAATCTGAGAACCATATGGTAAATCGTTAATTTGCAAAATATCAATCGATCATCTCAAACCTGACCGTTCCAGTCGCAAACATCAATCCATTTTCTCAGATTTTATTGTTCATGCGTTTTCATACCAATTGCTTTCCGTTCCCGTTCTTTCCTCATCGACCTTCTACTGAAATACATTCTATGCCTGATCACCGTTATATACTACTTGTGTGGATATAAGAAACCTACACCACATGAGTATTATTAAGCTAAGTTAAATTCAATCTCACGATATGTTTCAGTAATTTACCTTCTTTAGAATGGGTAGTATAATGTGAAAACTTCCATATTTTTTCACTACTTTTCCTCCACTTTCTTGTACACTTTTAGTTATCATTTTCACAAGTTGGAAACCTTTGTCTAATTGAAATTTTCTATATTTGAATTAAAATAGTTTGATATGTGAATATGTTATACTTGATTAGCGTCTTTTTTAGCGACTTAGTTATTGAAGCGATGGGGTCGCTAACACTATGTGATACAGTTGTTCCAAATTCATTTTACAAATGTACTAGATTATTGAAACCAACTCCGTATTCTTTTAAAAATTAAGTTATCAAAGCTTCTTAAAGAAGCGAATTGTTTCAAAAAGTTTTTCTTAGAAGAGGGTTTTGTGGATATTATAGTAACTTTTTGCAATAGTTGAGATCATGAGTCAATTGAAACTAGACCACCATAGAAAACCTGGAAGCACTAAAAGGCCGTATCGTCCTACTGTGGGACTCCTGAGCAATACATATCCACGATCCCGCCTCTCAAGATTCGAACCCAGGACCTATCAGACTGGTTGGTTAATAACTTTGATTTACATAAGATTCATCCCTTTATGTTGACAGTTTATCATTTTCGGGTTTCTTCAGTAAATCAATAAGTTATATGACCTACTCAACTGAGCAATTATTTTTCAAAATCTTGATAGGAAGAATACAAAGAATGTTCGTTAGTTCTGATTTCAAGCAAAAACATTTCGTACATTTCAAAAGCTTCAGATATTTGGATATTTATTTCATGCTACATATTAATGAGCTTTCTTGACAGCATTAACTAGTTGGTACTAATTAGTTCGTATAAGTCATTTAGTTGCATGTAGAAAGTAAGTTCTACTCATATTTTATACCAATTAATATCACTACATCATGTTTTAGTGAATTAATGTAATATAATATATAAATCTGTAATATTGAGATCATGAAGCGATTGATGTTAGACCACCATTGGAAACCTGAAAGCACTGGACAGCCGTTTCGTCCTAGTATAAGACTCCTCGGCAGTGCGCACTCGCAATCCTACCCACGAGACTCGAACCCAGAATTTTCAGCTTAACGTCTAGACCATTGAGCCGGTATCCAACGGTGTTTATGTCTAACCTCAATCAACCCACGAAATTGCGCGACCACCTTTCATCTTACTGAGTTAGATACCTGTGTTTACCTGACATGTATTGGCTCCACTTGTCACGGTTTCTCACTAGAACTCCGAGAATTCCCTCACGAATCTAGTCACTAGTGAACACATGGTAACTATCAGTATGGAGTTGTGAAGATTAATTTACCGAATACATTTAACTGAACAACTAATTTTTATAAATAAGGAGTTAGAATAAACAAAATACTGACAGACAATAGCAACTGTTTTTATAATTTGAATAGTGATACACTGAACATGTCAAAATAAACAAATATTTCAACAGCTAGTGGAGGTCAAATCTGAAAGAACAGTTAGATTAAACGGCATACCGGCCAACATGAAATTCCGACCAACGGGATATTTCGTTTATATTAAATCAACTGAACATAGCTTCCCTTTACCAATAGTGGTTATTTAACATATAGTATGACAGTTTTGCAACAAGTTATAGAACATATAGACAACTATAGCATTTTTATATTATCAAGAAGAGTGTAGTCCCTTCAGTTTCTCCTTATCTTATAAAGGGAATCAAGTTGGTTAATTTTTACCTTAATCTATCACAACTTTATTAATGTCTATCTACATAATTACATAATTAGT